CCGGTCCCCGTCGCCCGCCTGCCACCAAATGATCCAGAACACGTATAGATTACCTACTGAGATCCATTCCACCAAATGTTAGAATTCACTAATTGCTCTGGTGTAGCACCCCTCGATATTAGATCCGCGGGATTGTCTCTAGTTCCTACGTGACCCCATTCGTAAGGTGTGGAATCATTGTGTATTTCGCTTACTCGGTTCGCGACAAATATGTGCTATTTTCTAGAGGAGGAGTCTATCCAGGCTAATACAATTTTAGAGTCCGTCCAGTAAAACTTTTGCGCTACGTTTAACTTTAGGTTTGTTAATACTCGATTCATTAATTTGGCTAGCAAAACGGCTCCACATAGCTCTAACCGGAGCAGCGATAACGCTTTCATCGGTGCCACGCGTGATTTGGAGCAAACTAGGATAACTGTGATTTCTCCTCGCTTGTTTCTTTCTCTTATATACACGCATGCACCATACGCCGCCTCGCTTGCGTCACAAAACCCATGCAGCTGTAGTTGAACCTGGCCTTCGCCTGATACAAGTAGTCTAGATATTCGTAGTTCATTGAGTATATGCAATTGTGATCTTATACATTCCCATTCCCTATGAATCAGTGCATGGGCACTGATTCGTCCCATTTTAGACTTGAACTCCACATTTTTTGCATTAGATTTTTCGCCGAAGTTATTACCGGCCCTACTAAACCTAACGGATCATACAGCTTACATGTTTGCGATAACACTTTCCTCTTTGTTACACGTTGATCTGTCTCCCTTATGTCTACTTCATATTGAAATATATCTTTATGTGGGTTCCATAATACCCCTAGTAATCTTGACTCTTTTTCCTTAGTAATATCTAAGCTTTCATTTTTAAACTGCTTATTTTCCTTAACCGTCTCTACGTTACTCCTCCATTTGTGCAATTTGAATCCTCCTTTACCTAGCAATTCTATTAATTCCTCTTTCAAGAGTAAGATTTCCGCGCTTGTGTTACTTCAAGTTAAGAGATCATCCATATAAAAATTGTTACATAATACTTCAGCTGCTCTAGGGTAGTTTACTTTTTCGACTTCCGCTAACTGGTGCAGACACCTTACGGCTAAAAATGACGCGGGTTTCGTACCGTAGGTCACGGTGTTCAATTCGAATTCATGCAACTCGTCTTTCGGATCTTCCCGCCACAATATACTTTGCAGCGACCGTTGCTCTTTGTCAACTAATATTTGTCTGTACATTTTTTCCACATCTTCACATAACACGTATTTATAGCCTCGGAATTGTATTATTAAGGCAAATAAATCTGCTTGTATTGTGGGGCCTTTATATAGAGCGTCATTTAAAGCTTTCCCCTTGGCATACTGACTCGACGCGTCAAAAACTACTCTAGTTTTAATCGTGACACTGGTTTCTTTTATTACGGCTTGGTGTGGCAAGTATACCCGAAAGTTATTATCTTTCTCTTTCTCTATTCGACTCATTATGTCCTAACTGCTGATATTCTTTCATAAACGTGATATAATCCCCTCTCAATTCAGGATTGTAACTAAATTTCCGTTCTAATGCTAAGAATCTCTTCAAAGCTACCTCCCTTGAACCATTCAACAATGGCAATATTTCTTTTTCGACTGGCAATTTGACAACGAACCTACCATCATTTTGCCGCATGTAACTAGTTTCGAATAATCTTTCGCAATACTTTTCTTCCGAAGTACTATTCTTAATGTTCGCGTAATTTTCTACCTCCCAAAACCTTTGGACGGTCTGACATAGTTCCTCTAATGTACTTAGATTACAGCTTGTTTGTGAATGTTTTTTTGACTCGACTATATTAATGGATCCTGATACTAACCAGCCTAGTAATGATTTTTGTAATATTGGTTTGTTTCTACCTAGCCTTATTTGACCCACGCAAACCAGCTCCCAAAACCTCTCTGCACCGATTAATATATCTATCTTACTCGGGATGTTAAAATTTGGATCTGCCAATTTAATATTTTTAGGTATATCTAAATCTGTTACGTTCACTTCGATGGTAGGTAAGTTTTGTGTAATCTTTTCCAATACTATGAATTGCATGTCCAATCCGAAGGTATTAAATCGCGAACTTACATGCAATTGCGCTGATTTCATAGCATGTGATATGTGCTGACTTATACCTTTTATCTCTATATGATTTGCCCTTGTTTTCACGTTTACTTTTTCAACGAACTCTTCCGTAACAAAATTAGATTGAGACCCGTTGTCAACTAACGCTTTACCCTCTATGTATTGTCCATCGCGATTTTTGACTAATACTACTACCGTAGATAACAATACCTGTGTTGAGGTAAGTATCCTTTTTGATTGTGTGTATGTACATATTGTATCTTCCTTCTTATGGGCTTCATTAAGCGTACTCGGATTTGGATCGCTCGTTTCTTCCTTCCCTTTTGATGACATGTTATCATCGTGTAACAAAGTGCTGTGTTTTTTCATACATTTTCTACAGTGGCCGGCGTTACAATCCCTAGCGAAATGTTTGCCCTTCAAACAATTGAGACATAATTTTAGAGATCTTATCTTGTTTAAACAGTCTGTAATGGATAGTTCTTTAAACGTTTTACACTGATAAATTTGATGGTCGCCATTACAATGTGCACATTTTACGCTTGCTACTGCTGCATGTGCATTTGTCGTCTTACTGGTCGTTTGTCGAGGCCTGCTAGATGACTCTATAGATAGACTCCTTCTCGCGACGGCTTCTAATGTTTCACATCGCTTTGTTAAGAATTCTATCAATTCGTTAAATTTTGGTACTTGCTTACTGTCTAGACTATTCTCCCACTCTTTTATTGTAAAGTAATCTAGTTTGCCCGCTAATATATATATCAATAAGTCGTCCCAGTGGGCTATCGGTCGTTTTAACGCGGCTAGTGCCGTCGTGTGCTTTAGCGTACTGTCTAACAAACTTCTCAATGCCACACTGTTCTCCTTTCTTATCGATGGTAATTCGAAAATTGATTTGATATGATTTTGAATGCTTACACGTTCGTTCTCATACCTAGCTTTTAGTCTAGACCAAGCGTCGCCGTAGTTAGCGCCCGTGATTTCCAATGACTGTATAGTTTCCGCAGCATCGCCCTTTAATGAAGACTTCAAGTAATGGAATTTCTGAATATCGTTCAAAGTATCATTTGAATGTATTAATGAATCGAATATCCCAAAAAATGGATGCCATTCTTCATAGGCCATTCTTCTCCGCTAAAGGTAGGCAGTTCAATTTTAGGCAATCGTACATGCGTGTCATTTACTCTGTTTCTGTTGTGATTGGATATCACGTTGGGTGTTGCGCTCGCATGGTCAAGATTCGTAGCAAGAGCTGATCTAACGCGTTCCTTTATTGTTCTTTCGCCTATCAACTTTAAACTGACGTATTTTTCTTCGTAACTAGCTATGGTATTTCTTGCTCTACTTGTACTTCGCTTATTTCCTCATGAATGCTTAATTCCATCAGACTTTCTTCTAATGATTTTCTTAATTCTTCTAACTTATCTAATCTAATTTTTAATTCTTCAATATCAACCGTATTAATATTCATTGCTTTTATGAAATTTTCCACCCGTGTGAAACCAGCTTTTGCTACTCTCTTTCTTAACTTTATTTTTTGTAGGTCTACGTTCTCAACCATTTTGAAATGGTTCCTTATAAGCGCGGTTTCGTATCAATAACGAATCTATATCGAAATATTTGAGTGTTACAAACAACTTATCGGTTATAACGAATGTGATATGCTTAAAACTTATCTGCTGTTTCGCATATACGTAGACTCGTTGCCTCTTGAGTTGGTACTCGCCACTTCTTGTGTAGTTGACTCGCTCTTCTGCCGGAAAAACTTGTTACCTTGTGCGGGGAGAACTCGTCGTTTCGTGTATGGAGGACTCGCCGCCAATGTGGAGAATACTCGTCGCCTCGTGTAAAAGACTCGTAGCTTCGTGTGGAAGATACTCGTCGCCTCGTGTAAAAGACTCGTTGCTTCGTGCTAGCCTCGCTGTTCTTTTTCACGAGGTCTTGCCGCCTTTTTTATAGTATCTCGTTTCTTCGAGAGCTCGTCGTCTCGCTTGTACAAGATGGCGTCGTCCGTCTTCGTTACGGATACGCGTGCTGTCACTATGTCTCGTCTATTGCGAACGTCTCTTCCTTGATATCGTGCCACCTTTTTTCTCACCTTATGTTTCGAGCGAATAATTTTCGTGACCTTGCTAGTCTTTAATCGTTGGCTTGCGAAATCTCGTACGTCGTCTCTTTTCAGGCTTCGCCATGCTTATTCGTCGTGTTCAGCGAGAGGCCTTGTTCTAAAATCCCAGTCTTTGTCCCTGGGATCCGGCTCGAAGGACCATATAATAATTGATGTTGACTGCAGTTGTAGGTGGAAAATAGAGTAATACGTGGTTAGTTGAAATTGAATTTATTCACTGAAAGCTAATAGGTGTCTACTCTACGCTTGCTAAATCTGATCTCTCCTCCTAGCCGTTCGCAACTCGCGGATGCATGCGCACACCGCTGGCGCTCTATCTCGTCGAAATACAGTAATCAGTCGGTCGATAACACGATCGATAACTAAGCTACCGACCTGCGTAACGTGATTCACTAAAATAGGAGTTACCAACTAACAATCACAACAAATAATGATAATAATTAGAATAATGATAATGATGAAAATTGCAATGATGATAATGATATTAATGACTATAATAATAATGATAATTATTAATTACTAATTAATACTTATTAATTATTAGTTATTGATAATTGATGGATTAATTACTGATACTACTAATTATTAATACTAAATACTGATACTTCATACTGAATACTAATTATTGATATTTGATTCTTTGTTATCGATTTCTATTTTTTAATAATTTTTTTAGTGATTATTGATTACTACTTATTGCTTATAAAATATTATATTTATAATATTATAATTATAATAAAGAAAAAAATCTTTATTAATTATTAATTAATGATTATTAATTAATAAATTAATATAAATATAATTTTATTGTTCTAATATAATATTAGTAATAATATTTTAATATTACTAATATTTTACTTAAGCAATTATTAAAGTAATTATTAAATAATTTTTATTAAACAGTATTATATTTATATACATAATATACATAATATATTTATATATATAATATATTTATATTTTAATAATGCCACGACGTAAAGTAGAACGTTCTTCTGAAGAAAAAGAAGAATTTGAGAAACAACGTCGTAAAAGAAAAGCGGACAATCAACGTCATCGTAATGAAATTATAAAAAGTATGAAAACTTTAAATAGGGATAATGTTCAAGTAAATCCTAATACCAGACCTAACATTATCTCTTGTATTAATGGTGAAATACATTGTAGTCGTACAGTAACTCTAAACGACGAAACAATTCAAGAAAATTCTATAAATATTACAACAAGGAATCCCCAATTAATATATCAGACTCATTGTCGATCACGCAAAAAAGGGTATCTATATTTAAATATTAATAATATAATATCTATGAATGATATAAGTGAACATTATATTGGATCTATGAATGTACTTTGTATTCATTGTAATGCAAAACATTTTGTAGCTGAAAAAGTATCTAATAAGGGAAATTCATTTCATGATTGTTGTAATCATGGTGCAGTTTATTTGGAACCATTACCTCTACCTTCACAATTTCTTTGTAATTTATTTAAAAATAATCATGCAAAATCCAGTAATTTTTTCCAGTATATTCGTAGTTACAATAGTTCATTTTCGTTTGCATCATTTAATGCTAATTTGGTTAATTTTTAAAGTAGGCGATCAGGTCCATATTGTTTTAAAATACAAGGACAAATTTACTATCAAATAAATACAGCATTATATGCTGTTCAGAATGCAAACCCAACTTACAGTCAGCTTTTTATTATAGATTCTAATGAAGCAATAAATTATCGTCTTACAGAAAATTCAGAATTAGATTTTGAAATTATACAAAATCTTGAAAGTGTAATGCAAGAATCTAATGTATTTGCTCAATCTTATCAAATGGGTGAAGAATTAGAAAATCAACAACGATTAGAAAAAGAATCTGGAGAATTGTTACCAGAATTACAATTATTATTTACGTTAAAACCCGGTATGAATATCGAGGGCGATATAATGTTCAAAGGACTAATGAAGTTGCAGCTGTTTTTCGAACTGCTGATGGAGAAATTCCAGAATCTTATGTAACAATACGTAATAAGAATATTAAAACTTTACAAAATGTTAGTACTATGGATCCAAATGTTGAACCATGGATATATCCATTATTTTACTCACATGGTACTCAAGGATGGCATTGTAATTTAACGAAACTAAATAGTAATAAACGAATAACTAGAAGTCAATATATTAAATATCGCATGGCTATTCGTGATGAATTTAATGTTTTTATATTAGGTCGTTGCCTCTTTCAACAATGGCTTGTAGATAGTTACGTAAAAATTGAAAAGAATAGAATAAATTACTGCAAAAATCATCAAAAAGAATTACGAACTGAAACATATCAAGGTTTAAGAGATTATATACAAACTATGGCGAATAATTTAAATGGACGTATTGGAAAGATGGTTATACTTCCATCCACGTTTATTGGATCTCCGCGTAATATGTTACAAAATTATCAAGATGCGATGGCAATTGTTGCTAAATTTGGTAAACCAGATCTTTTTATTACAATGACTTGCAATCCTAAATGGCGCGAAATTGAAGAAAATCTTTTAGATAGTCAACAAGCTTCTGATAGACCCGACATTTGTGCACGTGTTTTTAATATTAAAAAAGACTATTTGATTGATTTGATTGTAAAGCAAAAATTTTTTGGAGAAGTAGCAGCGTTTGTGTATGTTATTGAATTTCAAAAACGCGGTTTGCCACATGTTCACATGTTAATTACTTTAAAATACAATTTTAAAATAACAACTCCACAAATAGTTGACAAATACATCTCTGCTGAAATTCCTAATCCATGTGAAAATCATACTTTACATAACATAGTTATGAAACATATGATTCATGGACCTTATGGTGATTGGTGTTTAGTATAAATGGAAAATGTTCAAAACATTATCCAAAATCGTATCTTGAAGAAACTAGAATGAATGAAGACGCTTATCCTTATTATCGTCGAAGAGATAATGGTAGAAGTTTTAAACGTCCTAGTGGATATATAGTTGATAATCGTTATGTAATACCATATTGTCCTATTTTATCAATTATTTTCAATTGTCATATAAATGTTGAGATAGTTTCAAGTATCAAATCGGTTAAATATTTGTATAAATATATTTACAAAGGTCACGATGTGTTGCTGCTATAAGAATTGAACCAATCACAGAAAATATAGTTATTGATCATGATGAAATACATAATTATATAGAAACTCGTTATGTTGGACCTGTAGAAGCCTGTTGGCGAATACTTGAAAAAAAATTACAAGATAAAAGTCATACTATAGTACGTTTGCCAGTTCATCTTCCTAATAAACAAAATGTTATAATTGAAAATGAAACCGTTGAAGAAACAATGACGACTGCTATGAATCAAGTTACTATGTTAATTGATTATTTTAATTTAAATTCTCACGATGAAGAAGCAAGACAGTATTTATATGTAGAAATTCCGCGTTATTATTTATTTAAGAAAGAGAAAATTAATGGAAGAAATATTTCGCGTTGGGTAAAACGCAAAAGTCATTATAATTGTATAGGACGAATGTATTCCGTTAGTCCAACACAAATAGAACTATTTCATTTACGATTATTATTACTCACTGTAAAAGGAGCTACAAGTTTTGATGATTTAAGAACTATAAATGGAGAAGTATGTTAATCGTTTTCAACGGCATGTTTAGCTTTAGGTTTGATTGAAGACGATGATGAATGGAAACGAGCTATGAATGAAGCTGTTGGATGGATGATGCCAAGACAAATTCGTAGATTATTTGTACGTATATTATTATATTGTCAACCGTTACATCCTGAAGAATTCTGGGAAAATTTTAAAGTAGCATTGTAGGAAGATTATATTCGACACTTTGGACTATTAGAAGGACAAAAAAAAGCATACATACAAATTAATACTATGCTTAATGCTGAAGATAAAAGTTTTGCAGATTTTCCACAAATGGAACAATTAATAGAAAATAATATAGAGAATAATTATACAACACTT